GAAGCAGCCCCGTGGCGCGCCGGAAGGGGCGTGAGGGGGAACCCCGCGCCACGTCGGAAGGGGCGTGGGGGGAGGGTACTTGCATCGTGGTGCTACAACGGGAACTCCTTTTCTAGCGAGGCTACAGGCCGGGACGAGTGCTAGGGGGGGAGCAACACGCATCATCACAGCGCTGACAACGGCACTTCTTTCTTTACTGTATTTGGTGTTTGATGGTATGCGTAAAGAAGTTGGAAAATCCTCGTTAGTTATCATGACTGCACTTTGGTTGAAGAGCCAGAGAGGGTGTTCCGTGTTTCTCGTAGGCGTTCGCGTCCACATGTTCAGTACTTCCTGGTAGTCATTCGGTTGAGACCCTCATTGATTGCGGCAACGTGGTGCAGTTCTCTAGGTTAAATGTGCAGGAAGATGGGATCCTGTTGGAACCGCTCAAAGAATGTATGAGAAAGAAATTGGGGCACAATTGTTGAACGTCCACGAGCACAGAGAATTGTCGAAAAATGCATGCGGGTTATTATGTGTCGCTCAGAAAATGTTGGATGGTTTCCTTATGCCCCGGTGCGCTGTGTTACGTCAGCGAGGGAGGGGGATGATTTCGATGTTTGTCTGATGTTTGTTTGAAGAACAGACAGTACTGCAGCGGCATGGTAGTTGTTTGAACCAACCTCTCAGGATAGTTTTGCACTAATATTGGTCGCCAAGAGTTGGGATAGGGCGTCTGATGGAACGGTGAATATTGGTGGGGTTTTAACCCGGAGGCCGAGTTTCCCCCCTGTTATTTTTTTTCGCGTTGTTGGTGTTCGTCCGTTCGCTTTTTTTGTCACATCCGGCGTGTGCATGCCCACTATTAAGTGGTTAGGTACTAAATAGCGTGGAGAACCAGGGAGGGTGTTCGTGTGTGTGCATGAGCGGATGAGAATATTCGAACGGGACTGTAGGAAGTGGCTACGCAGATTGCAATTGATAGTCCCCTGGGTTGGCTTCATGGTTGATCCACGGGGCTCGGACCTGCGGCAGTGCTTGCTGTATCGCGGCACGCTCTCTCTCCCGCCGCGTCCTGATCGTGTCTGTCTGCTGTCCTTAATACAAGTGATACCATCATCTTCAACACACATACATGGGTATACTAACACTGACTATATACCATTCAATAGGGCCGCTCCCTATTCTCAATCACACCGAATTATTTGGTATGTATGTATGTCGGCATGCATGCAGGGCAATAAACCAACATATATTTAGAGTAGGCTAGACCTTTGTACATCAAACAACACAGACAAGTGGAGCGAAAAGTTCTCCGTATTACGTTTTGCACCCCTCCCTGTAGTACTGTAGTCCACAATTAATCTACTGCTGTAGCTACACAATCTACGTCCTCCAGAGAGAAGAAGCGATGATGGGTGGAGCTCCTCCTGGCTGACCATTTTTCGAGCTCACGCACGATGAAACCGCCAAATAATACCACACCACCACACAAACCACTTGGCAGCACTTTTACTTTCAACATTGGCAGTACCCAGGGACCACACTTGGTATCTGGGGTCGTTATTCCCGGTGTATCATGCTACTCCACAGTCCGAGTCATCATCCGTATCTCTACTACTCTGATCCATGCCAACTTCTCATCATGTCAAATTATTATTCGAGCGAAGCGAGATTTCTAATCTTGCCTGAGAGGGCTCAGCGCAATATAGGGGCC